CGGGGCAGCCCCCCTCCCGCAGCTGCGGGCGCGGGGGGCGGCGCAGGGAGGCTCGGCCTGTGCAGCCCCCTCCCTCCTCCCCTCCCCTCTCTCCCTCCTCCCCTCCCCTCTCTCCCTCCCTCCTCCCATGCCAACCTGCTGCCGCCTTTGTCAGCGCAGCCCGGCGCTATGGCATCCTTCTGGGGCTTCAGGCTCGGGCTCTTCCTCCCCCTCCTCCTCCTCCTCCTCCTCGCTGGGAAGCGGCTGCTGCAGCGGCAGAGCCAGCCGTGACGGCCGCGCTCCCCGGGCAAGAGGCAGGCGGAGCCCCCAGGTGAGCCCCAGGTGCGGGGAGGGGGCACGGACGTGCGAAAGGGTGGGCTGGCAGAAAGGGGCGCCGAGGACAAGCGCCCTCCGCTCCCCAGCTCCCGGGGATGCTCTGGGGACCGGGCGTGCTGGGGAGGGGGCTTGGGCCCCGGGCCCCCCCCCCCCCCCCGCCGGGTTGGGGGCAGGTGGGGTAAGTGCAGGTAAGATATCCCCCCAAGCCCCTGCGGTCCCCACCGGGCACCCCGGGGTCCCACCTCTTCGTCAGGCTCCCCGGGAAAGGGGGGACTCAAAAAATCTTGAAACTCCGTCTGTGACTTTGGCAGCTCCACTTCAGTCCCGCACAGCTGGATCTGGCTGTGGGCAGCTGGAGGGGAGCGTGCGGGTGACCCCCGGCCTGGGCCCCGGGGCCCCCAAATCCCAAGGGGGGAGCCTGAAGGGATGGGGAGTGCCAGGGGTGGGGGCCGGGGAAGCTGGACCCACCAGGGTGAGGAAGCCGGTCTGTGCAGAGTCAGGTCTGGGAGGACAGCGGGATTTTTATAGGTTTGCCATGCAAAAATCCAGGTTGCCCACAGATGGAATAAACTGCTCACATTTAACTCGATTAGACCTTTTTGCGTCTATCTGTCAGCGTTTGCAGTGGTGTCTCCTTATGCAAAAATTTTTGGGAAAAATGTGACTTGGATGTGCTCTAATAACATACTGAGAGGACGGTATTTGTGTGTGTTTGTATGGGCCAATAGTTGGCAAAGAAAAACCAAAAGCATATGATGCAGTAATAATTCAAGTAATTTATTGCACAGTTTTAGAATGAGTGTTTGCACTTTTCCAGATCATATAGATACTTTAACCTGGATTGCATAACTGAACAATGCAAATAATCAGCCTCATGTTATTGTGCAAGAAAAATCAATGGCAAGCCTTGTTCGACTTGAGTCCTGACACGGCCGTGAGGGTACGCTGCCTTTATCCACAAGTTCCCTGTTAATTTATGCACTGGGAACCTTTAAAAACTGCTGAATTTGGGGGGCGAGGGGGCTGAAGTGTTGTGCAGAGTCCTCTTACAGCAAAGCCTGTCTCTGTTAAGGAGCTGGGTTTGTAAAGCATGGTTTCCCAAGGCTTGTTCACACAAGGTAAGAGCCAGAAAATAGCAACTTCTTCCAGTGGTAGTCCCCGCCGAACCCCTGGTGAACGGTGGAGGAGGTTAGCGGTGGGACGCCCAGGAGGGTGCAAAGCCTGCGTTGTTCCTGTGCCGAACAGCAGCGAGCTGCTGGCGAGAGCGGGTGCACAAGCCCTGCGAGCTCCCAGGCTGCAGGCGTTCGTCCCCTTCGGCTCTGGAGGAGTGAATAAAATCACACCAGCGAGGCAGGGAGCCAGCACGCATCTCCTGCCTGCCCTGGGGACCGGAGCCCACCCCACTCCCGCACAGCCGAGGGAACAGTCCGGAGGAGACTGCTTGTGTTGGGCTGTTTGGGAGGACTTTTCTCTTCAATGAAAGGTGGAGAGAAGCGATTGCCATTGCGCGGGCAGGGCTCCAAAGTGCGCTTTTTAGTGTTCTTTTTAATGAGCGGCAGAAGGCCGGAGGGAGAGGAGGAGGAGGAATAAGGTGTGTGGACACAGGCATTGTTTCCCCGAGTGCCGGCTCCCGTGTGTGTGTGTGTGGTGGAAGCTAGACGGGGCTCGAGGTGCCCATTTGTTCATCAGAAATTTCTTAATGTTTTGCAGAGAAATGGATTTGTGAGTATGGGAGAAAACAAAAACTGAATTCCATCTTGATGCCTTACATGTTTCATGCGAGGCATGTGTTGCCTGCCTTGTTTTATAGTATCTGGCATTGGGAAGACAGGCTGAAAGATTTATGAGCTCAAGTTAATAGTAAAACAGCATATCACAGGCTCTGTATTAATGTTCTCCTGCGCTGAAGTAGCTGGCTCTTTCTGGGGGAATTTATGCGAGGATCGCTCGCTCTGTCGTCGCCGTAATGGTATTATAGGGTGGCCCGTTTGTCACGGTGGGGGGAAGCGAAAAAAGGATGCTGTTTCCCTCTCGGCAGGCAAATCAAAGGGAGGGGGGAAATGATGATTCCAGCAGCCGCATCTGTGTATTAGCTGCACCTGCTGTGGATATTGGGAAACGGGGAGAGCAAATGTCAGAGGCACAAAGAACAGGGAAGGAAATGAAGGAGGAAATAACAGAGGAAGATAACGTGGTCTGTCTGCCAGCGGCCACGATTCAGGCTCGTGCAAGGCACCCTGCCACCCCACAGCTGCTCAGGGAAGTCGAGTGGTGGGACTTTGTGTTGAAGCCTGTGCCAGGATTTATCTGCCCCGATGTGCACTGCCCTTAGCCATGCAGCGGGGCAGGGTTTGGGCTGAAAGTGCCATGGGGGAAAGCGGCCTGGGCAATGGGGTTGCAGTACTAATTTCATAAATTCCTGTGGATGGTGAATTTATAAGGTAGTCAGGAGGTGAGGGGACGCCCTCCACCCCAGTGCTGATTTGGGAGGTGGTGAGGAGGGAAAGTCCATTCCGGCGTTTCTGCAGGGAAGCAAGCTGCCTGAAAGAGTCCGCAGGTTCCCCTGGTCTGGAGGACCACAGGGGAGAGGTCTTAGGGAGGCTTGATTCCTAAAGACACCAGAAAATAGAACAGTATATTCCCTCTGTGCAGCAGAAAGCACCACTAGGGATGGAGGTTCCAATCATAATATTCTTGGTCTTCTCCTCCAGAGGCTGAGATAGCAGCTTAATGGTAAGATGAGAGCTCAGTTCATTGCTCTTGGTGCAGGGCAAGAAGACATTGATTTGTGGGAAGCCTTGAGCTCATCTGCGTGCAAGGAGAGTCAGACCCCATCGACTAGCCGTGCAATATGATGCTGTACAAGTCCATGCTGGGATATAATTGTGCTATTAGAGCAGTGAATGTCGAATCTTAGGAAGCTGAGTCAAAGCGACCCTCCCAGTGTTAATATAACAAAATCATTAAAGATGAAATGTTAAGTGGCTCCTTTGGTCAGAGACTGTCTTGCTGAAGATAAGTAAGCTAGATCCTGTCCCTCTGTCTGGGTAGCTCCACGTCTCTGGAGACGTCAGTTTGGGGGTGGTTTGGAGGGTGCGTGTGGCTGCTGGTAGTGAAGGTAAGGCACGAGGATGTTGGTGGTATTGAGGCCATCCGAGGAGGCCCCGTGCTGCTGCTCTTGCTGTGGGTGCTTTCATTTGCTTTGCTGCTTTTGACTGATTCATGACCCTGTAGCCTCTCTAAAAGGCCTTCCTGTACTTATTTCGGAACTTTGCATTTATGTGCGATGTCCAGGTCTATTCTGGTCCTGCTTTGAGAGATAATGAATGAACGTGGACATAACAGCTGATACGGTGCCTGGCCAAGTGCTTGGCACCTGGGATGTGGCAGCTCCCGCGGTGACTTGCCAAGAGGTACCTGTCTCCGTTGCAGGCTGTTAGGAAGCTTGACAAGAGACAGAGTTGCTTAATGTGCCACTAAAAACCTTGGCACCAGGTTTTTACATCCCTGACCTAGGAAACAAGATTTCAAGGCCCTTATATATTATCCTTATGGGGTAATACATCCTATTCCTCAAAGCCCGAATCTGTTGTGTGCTCCACTAGCAACATTTCTGATGCTCTGGCACAAGGCAGCACCCATTTCCATGCCCAGGCTGAAGCCCAAAGGTACCTTTTGCACCTAAAGTGTGCTCACACCAGAAAGCTGTTGGTGAACAGCCAAGGGGTGAAGAGGAAATTATTCCAACTCCTAGCTAGCTTACTTTTCCTCAAGGCCTACATCTGATTTTGCAACCTGCTTTTTCAATTCCTACCTCCCATAGCTGAGCCTCAGTTGAGTGAATTGGCCGAATTCCCACCTCAGCAGGCTCAGCTCTCTCCTGGTCATCCTTGTCTTAAAGCCTCTGTCACCTCCCTGTCCTCTCACTGCTTTATAGCTGACTGCCACCTCCCAGGCTTGGGTCTGTGAGCACAGGGTCCCAGACTGAGCTAAACCGGGTCTAGCAGAGCTCCTCTGCTTGGGATCCATCCTTCAGTGCCGCTGCCTTACTGCTTGGGTATGGATTGGAGTCCCCAAACCAAAGCTCCTTGTCGGTGCTAAATAAAAGCAATGTGAGCTTTGGGGGTATGCAGGGCTTCCACTGAACTTACTGAACTTGTCAGCACTCAGCGCCTTTGAAAATCAGGCTGCACCTAAGTTTTACCAGATTCATAAGGTTTAGAAACCTGAATTGAAGTTAAAACCTTTGATGGGAGGGGTATGCTAAGAATGGCTTGGTACAAACCAAAAGATTTCAAGAAACTGTACCTACAATATCCTTAGTGGGATGAGAGAATAAAGACAGAAAGGTAGGGAACAAAATGGGTTGACAGTTTTCAGAAATATATTATTGCAAACTGGCTACTTGTGTATTTTGGCAGGAATGTGAGTGGGGAGAAAGCAGGGCGCTGGCAGGCCGGTGAAGACAGCGTATAGTGTGTATCAGGCTATGAAAACACATATCCAGGTGAGGGTTTTGCAAGAAGCTGTGAAGTTACAAACGGAGGAGATAGTTGCTTTTGCTGGTATTCAGCCCAGAGGTGACAAAAAGACAGATTTCCACTCTTGCCCCAAATGACAGATTTATGACATGCAGAAAATTGACTTGCAATGCCAGTCCCCTGGCAGCTGGGACAGTCTCCGAGCCCCACATGTGAAGTTTACTCTGGGAGTGCTTGGTGGCTTTGGTGGCAGACAGAGCAGTTTGGACCTAGCTTGGGAGCTTCATTGTCTTATGGTGACATGCCAGAGAAATACAAAGGCAGGCTGTTAGAGGCTGTGCCTCTGAGCACATGCTGGTGATAAAGAGGAAAGGGATACAAGCATCCTCCTTCAGCTTTTAGCATTACTTTCTGGAGCTGAGCACTGTGCACTGAGCAATATAACATTTTTGCTCTTTTGTCAGTTTACCTAAGACTTGTGCTGCCATGCATAATACAGGAGCTTTAAAAGCAAACATGCATGCAGCAGAGGTGTTCGAAAATCCCTGTAGCCATTGGTTTCTGAGAGTAGTGTTTACAATCACAGAAATACTTTCACGTTGCTGCTGCTCAACTTCTGATCATATGCAGTAGAAAGATGCTGCTTAAATAAACAGCCATGTCTGTATGGAGACTTGTTTCATATTCTTACAGGCAACGTGGTGGTTTTGTTTTTTCCCTCTGGAAGATGCTACTGTGGCATTTGCTATGAAAGCTGATGTGCACAGGCTTCTGACACTGATAGTGATTGCTGGTGTGTAGTGTCAGGGCAAGATGGAAGGCTACAAGAGAGGGAACAGGAGCCCTGTATTCCTGGAGTGGTGCTCAGGAGTCCTCAGGTTTTTGGCTGGGAGGTGACTTTTTGAATGAGTAATAAGAAACCTTGCAAGCCTGACTTTTGTGCTTTTCCATTTGCATGGATATTCTGCACTTGATGCAGAGGGAGAGACTAGTTCCAGGGGTCATCTGAGGGTAGGAGTGAATGGGGGAAGATACCGTACCTTTTTGGAGAAGAGAAAATATTTTTGTCATTCCTATCAGTAAGAATAACAAAGTGACCAAACATAGGAATTGGCAGACTGCATCATCCTGTGCTCTGTCTCTCCTAGTAGCCAACAGCAGAGACACTGACAAGGATATTCACAGTAGGCAGATGAAAAATAGTATGCTCCCCCTCAACATCCTTTCCTAATCCATAATAGCTAGAGGTTGGATTCAACTTTGAAAGTGCAGGGGTTTATATCCTTCCCAAGATGTTTGCTCACGTTAGCTGTGCTTGTTTGACCTATTCTTGTTATCCACATAAATGTGCAGCCTTTGCTCTCCACCTCTGCCCTATCATTTCGGGCCAGTGAATGGAACTGCACTCCCCGGGTTGCTCTGGGAGCACATCACTGAAGAGGATGTTCCCTGTCCTTGTTCTCAGTCTTCAAATCCACCCCGATTGGCAGCCAGCCCTCTAGCATCTGCTGGATTGGTTTCAAGATTCAGTGGGATTTTCTTTTGCTTAACTCTTTCTGCTCTTTTCTAAATTTTGCACTTTGTAGCTGAAATGGGGTTCACACAGATTTTTCGCATGGGACCAGGCAGCTTTTCCATTCCTGAATCATAACTTAGGAAAAGGTATTTCTGGAAAAAGTGTCATGGTATTCAGAGGAGATAATTCAGAGTAGAGGAGAAAATAATGTTTTAAAATAAGCAAGATGGTAATTATGTGCTCAGATAACTTCTAAAAACACGTCAGAAGTTTATTGCCAGAAAATCTTCCTGAGAGCCATTTGCAGTCAGATATGAAAACAGCTGGGGTTGTCATGGTGTAGTAGATCATCTCCGGTTAGGCTAGGGCTAGAATTATTGCCAAACAATTTGATGTGTCTGTACTTTCAACCTCTCACAAGTTGGTAAGAAATTGTGTGAAAGCCCCGTAGCAAGCAGGCTGGGACTGTATATCTGCCAACAGTTCAGCCCCTCCAAAGCTTCTGCTGTTTATTCACTTGCTTGCTTTAGTAGACACTGACATAAACGAGCTTCCTTGGATGAAATTTGGATTCCATTTAAGCATCGATTTCATCGATGCTAGGATTACAGCCTGGAGTTCGAAACATGAGGATGGGTTATACAAGCAAGCCCTCGACTGCATGGCTAGGAAGTCAGGTCCCATCTGTGGCTGAATTACAAGGTCCTGAATATTATCTGTGGGTGACTTACAATCTTTTTTTGTTTGCTGTTGTGTGTTACTGTAGAAGTGGAACACAGTTTCCAGGCTAAACAACGAAATACGCTTAAGCCATGGAGTCCAACCAGGAATCCTCCCTCTTCCTGGTGAAGATCTTGGAGGAGCTGGACACGAAGCAGAATACTGTTTCTTACCAGGACCTCTGCAAGTCCCTGTGTGCGAGGTTTGATTTATCCCAGTTGGCCAAGCTCAGAAGCGTGCTGTTTTACACCGCTTGCCTGGATCCTAATTTTCCAGCAACTTTGTTCAAAGACAAAATGAGATGCACTGTAAACAATCAGCAATCAAAGAAAATCATGGTTGCAGCAGATATAGTAACAATATTCAACCTCATACAAATGAACGGAGGAGTGGCCAAGGAGAAACTTCCAGTTGCAAGGCAGAAAGTGAAGAAGAAAGAGTCCTTCGAGTCCTGTAGGTCTGACACAGAAATCTGCAATATGGCAGACTGCGTGCCCAACTGTGAGCTGAACGACCAGGAGTTTAACCGGGGCTTTCCAGTCAGAAGGTCTTCAAAATGCAGAAAGATGGACTGCAAAGACTGTCAACAGTTTGTCCCCTCGTCAGAACCCAACTTTTTACTTGGTGTTAATAAGGAGATGAAGGGTCGGGCTGCCTCTCTGGACAGGCTGCAGGCGCTGGCGTCCTACTCCATCGCCACATCTCCACCATGTGAGATGCAGAGTACATACTTCCCCATGAACATTGAAAATGAATCTATTTCAGACCAGGACTCCTTGCCTATAAGTGCAGGCATAAAAGAAACTTTCATTTCAAATGACGAGCCGTTTGTGATGCAGTCGTGTGTTCAGAAAAGAAATATTTTCAAAGAAGATTTTCATAATCTGATTACAATATCACCCAACTTAATACCATCCAACAAAAAGCCAGAAGATGGACACAGAGAGCCTCAGAACAGGAAAGAAAGCTCTAAGCAAGCTTTCTTCAACCACAGCTTTGAAATGCCATACAGCAGCCAGTACTTGAATCCAGTTTATTCGCCTATACCAGACAAAAGACGAGTGAAACATGAAAGTTTAGATGATCTTCAAGCTTCAACATATTTTGGCCCAACTACTATTCTCGGGCCCCAGGACACCAAAAAATGGACTGGAAAGCCAACCAAGCAAACTGCCTGGCCAGCTAAAAGCTGGAGTTTAAATACTGAGGAGGTACCTGACTTTGAACGATCATTTTTTAATAGGAAGCAGCCTGAAGAGAAGCCGCGATACCAGAGTTCGAACAACCCATCTCCAAACTTTCCTTCAGCTGACAGGCATCAGTCCTACCTAAATGTGAAGGATCAGCAACAAATTATGCAGGCAAACTACGCTGTGAAACCAAATGGGCATAAACCCAAGGAAATTCCTTCCATTCTAGATGTGGAGAAACATGAGCCAGTCAAAAAGTTTAAGGATAAAAGCATTAATTGCACTTCTGTTCAGATCTTAAGCATTGACAGGACCACGAGTGTTGGGACGCAAACGGAGCAGCAAATGCTGGACCACAAGAAATGCAAGGATTTGTGTGCGGGGGGGCAAGCCAAGTACGGAGAGCGGCACTCTCTTAAGCAGTCGGATGATGACTCTGAAATCGTCAGTGATGACATCAGTGACATTTTCCGGTTTTTGGATGACATGAGTATTAGCGGGTCCACAGGAGTGATGCAATCTTCGTGCTACAACAGCACTGGTTCTTTGTCTCAGGTGCATAAATCAGACTGTGAGAGCTCACCTGAGCACAATTTGACTAAAATCTCCAATGGGAGTGCCTGTAACAAATTGGATAAAGTGGTCCGGGCAGATATCAGTAATACAGATGATGAACTAAAAACGAGTGTCTGCAAATTAGTTTTGAGGATTGGTGAAATAGAGAAGAAACTGGAATCTCTCTCAGGTGTCCGAGAAGAAATCTCCCAAGTCCTGGGAAAATTAAGCAAATTGGATCAAAAAATTCAGCAGCCAGAGAAGGTCAGTGTACAGATAGATCTCAATTCTTTAACAAGTGAGGCTGCATCAGATGAGAGTAACTCCCCGCAGATATTTCAGTGCCACAATACTCCTCATGGAGGCAAACTGGAGAATAATCCAGAATGGTGCTGTTCAGATGCCAGTGGAAGTAATAGTGAGAGTCTTCGAGTAAAAGCCTTAAAAAAAAGTTTGTTTACTAGGAGGTCATCAAGGTCATTAACAGAAGAAAACAGTGCAACTGAATCCAAAATAGCAAGTATTTCAAACTCTCCCCGAGACTGGAGAGCTATTACTTACACCAACCAGGTTGGCATTACGGAAGAGGAGATGAAAGAAAGAGATGGAGGAGAAAATAAGGACTGGCACAGGAAATCTAAAGAGGTAATTTCAACTTTAACTCACATAATAAGCACTTTAAAATAATCTGTGAATATCTTCCATAGTCATCACAAGCCTCAGGGTATGACAATACTTTGCCCTGCCATATTATGCCTGTCTTTATTGTTATCATAATTGAGTGATTTTGTACCTATATGTTCTTGCTTTGCAGCTGCAATATGGTCAAGTTGTTCCTTAAAAGCTTTGCTCTTTTGAAAAGGGAGGGGGGGTAATGTGGGTGACATCTTTGGAAGATGATGGTATTCTTCATCATCAGTGGTGATGTAAGGAGGCCGGGTGATTAACTTGGTGAAAAGGGTGTGGGGAAGATTGAAATTCTCTAGTGGTTGTTTTAGAAGGGATATTTTGAAATTGCATTGTGATGGCTTTTATCAAAGAAGTATATGCATATTTAAAAGCCAACAAAATAGATTCATGGATTCAAATCCCTCAAGAAAAGAATCCTTGTATGTGTACCATGAGACGCTAACTGTAGTTAAGTTCTCTATATCTGACTTTCACGGTCATTTAAATGAGTCTTAAGCCTCCTGTTGTGGAAATGCAGCATAGCTGTGGTCTTCTTTTTGTTGGTTGGAAAAACTCTGCCCATCTCTCCCAACAGCTGCCCACTGCTGTCTTCACAGATTGCATAGCTATCGTGGCCGTCCTTGCGCTGGGGTCTGGTTGCTGCTCAGTTGAAACTGTGAATGGTGTGGGTGGTTGTTTCTGTTTCATGGGCAGTGGAGAGTGTTGGGGGTTCTTCAGCTCCCTTGTCAATCAGGACCACGTGATGGGCATGCTCTGCCTCCTTACAGTGGGGAATGAAGGCAGAGAAGGGTTGAGAAGGGAGAGGAAGAGGTTTGATGGAAGTAAGTGCAGTTGGGTGAAAAAGAAACCATAAACCATGGGTTATTAGTAGGTTGCAGAAGGGGAAGAAGGTTACCGTTAGTAAGCCCAAACCTTGGCTTTTCTATACATTGATCCGCCCAGGATGAAATGCTGACTTCGAAAGTCCCTTCCTCACTCCTGCAGTAGACCTTGGCTGACAATGGATTGGTACCATGGATGGTGCGGTGTCAAGGGGTGCTACCTGGGGGCTTCAAGATTTCTTCCTGCTAAAATTTGATCTGGAAACAGATCAAACAGGTCATTTGCAGAATAGTTTTATAATCTGTAAACAGTATGAAACCTAGATTTCATCTGCTGCATCAGCTTTGTGTTCGTGTTATGGTGAACATGGAGTTGTGCCTGTTAAATACTTCTTTGGTCTGGTTGTGAGAAGAAGGTGGGAAAATGGATTAAGGCCATCCAAAACCTTTGTCCTAGCTGGTACTTTTTTTATCATATGGTGATTCTGAAAGGAATATTTCTGTCCTTTGTGTTTAACCCCCTCATAGTCCTGTTTCTTCTCTCAAATTCTTTTGAACCCTATTGCAGGCAGACAGGCAGTACGAAATCCCACAGCCACATAGACTCTCTAAACAACCAAAAGATGCTTTCTTGATTGAACAAGTCTTTAGTCCTCATCCCTACCCTGCATCACTCAAGTCACACATGAAAAGCAACCCGCTCTACACAGACATGAGGTTGACAGAGCTGGCCGAAGTGAAACGCGCCCAGCCATCATGGACCATAGAGGAATACACGAGGAATTCGGGGGATAAAGGCAAGATTGCTGCATTGGATTTACAAGTGAGTCCTGTGTGATTAATTTGAATGGCTTGATTGCGAATTGATGTTGCCAGAATATGCATTTAAGAAGGGATTTGGATAGCTCAGGAAGGAGCTATGCAGTGTTGAGCCTCTGGTCTTGCTGATCCCTATCCATGCTGGCCAGGGACAAAGAAGAATGTGGATGTTTTCATTGCTGAATGGTGGTCCTTGACAGGTTGGTGCTCCGAGCTTATTCTGCAATGGAGAGATGTCTGCTAAGCCATCGTGGTGTTAGTATCTGCTAAGCCATCGTAGTGCTAGTAGCTCTAAAGAACAGTTGAGGGATAAAGGGGTGCAGAGATGAACTGGTCCCTAACTGCACAAAGGCAGAGTGGTGCAGAAGCTGGCACTGCTGCTTTTTCTTCTCCCCATATTCTGTCTGAATTATTCACAGAGAATTTAAGCGTTAGGGCTTTTTCCATTTTGCTAGGAACATGAGACATAAAATACTTGCAGAAGGCACTCAATACCATGACTGTTTTTGAAACACATCACTGTTGTAGCTTTGAAGTGGCTGTTGGAAACCAGAATCATGTGAAGAGCAGATCAGCTAATGGTGTGTCTTGTTTGCATTTTAGTTCAGCTTGGAAGTGTGCAGGCTCTTCTGCAACAAGCAGAGCAGAGCAAGTTACTGGGAGACAAGTTCAGATTTTGGATTTAAATTTTCCCAAACTGTGGTGTATTTGAAATCACAATCCTGATATGTAATGGGCTGCCCAGACCCAGGACTGAATGCCCACATTGGATACCCTGCCTAGCCTGATAAACACAAGACATCTTCTGAGAAGGAAGACGTCTGAAAACAGGTTTAAAGAGGAAGCATGAAGAATGACATCCAAAGTGTGTAAAGACCAAACAAATGTTGCAATATTTGGTCGTAAAACCCAAAATGCATCACATAATGAAATCCACACTGATGCGCAGATCACTGTGTATCATTCATATGCGTTTATACAGCAGCATGCAGAACCGGTGGGGGGACTGGTGCTGACCTCCGGCATTTTGGGCTCCTTGCATGCGTGTGCATGCCCCAGAGCAGAGCAAGCTGCCTCAGCTAGCTATGGGCTTGGCGGCAACTGGGGTACACTGACCTACAGCTTGGGGTTTATCAGCACCGCACTAACACAGCTCTGTGACCAGCAGTCTGTGCGGTGCAGCTGCGCTCAAGCAGGGAGTCTGCTTGTCTCCAAAGCTTGTCTGCCAGGGAAGGTGGTGTGCAAGAGCCTGAGACTTGTGGCTCCACGTCAGCTCTCGATGGCTCAGTGCTGAGGTACCTAACCGAGCTCCAAACCCATCAGACTAAGCCCTAGGAGAGCATCAGGATACTGTGAGAAAGACTTGGATAGCCCAAGTCTCAGGACCCCGTGTTGGCTGGTTCGGAGTTAAAATGATCACCCACAGAGTGCTGTAGTGCAACTCCCATGAGTGTTTGTGCCTCCTGGCTCGACTCACGCAAACTTCCCTGTTCTTACCAGCCCCTGCTGCTTGCTGTGGCTAAAGTGCACTTGGAGAGAAACCAAGCAGCACAGGGACCAGGCCACATCTTGCCTCAGCTGCCTGCTGCTTTTTGGTCTTAAAAGCTTTAGAGGGCTTATGAAATTCCTAATGCTGGCATTGCAGACTGTATGCTAGAGTAGAAATAGGCTGAAAGACGTTCCTCTGCAGCAGGCAGTCACAAAGCATCCCTTAACCTGCTGCGCGGAGGCAACAGGGGAGGTGATATTTGGGAGCAAAGCTCCCCTGGGAGAAGTGTTCTCCATCTGCTCCTTGTAGGGCCGTTTCGTTCCCTGTAAGCAGCTCTGTGCGACTGTGAGCAAACCAGAGAAATCAGCTTATTGCCATCATTTATCTTTAGGATAAAGGTGATAAAACTTTACTGGTTTGATTCTCTTCCTCCAAAAGGACTGCCAGAACTGCATCTACTCCGCAAAGCCCATGTCTAGACTTTATAATAGAGCTTACTGACAAACTTAAAAAATAGACACAGACTGATGAGTGGGGTTTTTTTCCCCAGTGATTAAGTTTATTAGAACTGAAAGTAAATACATTATGCTTTAATGAACATTCCTATGTCTGGCAATGAAATGGGAAAGGAAGCTGATTAACAGTAATGGGCCTTTTTAATAACGCATCTTCCTTCTGAAGTAGTTAAAAGGTCAATACCAAGGCAGAGGGGTCCTAAACTGTAATTTCCTTGAAGCATAGCATGGCTATCTTTGGGGTTTTTCTATCTTTGTTTATTTAAAATTTCTCCTGGAACTTGACAAGTCTGCTGCATTTTCCTTCAAAAAAAGAAATTGCAAAACTAGTCAGATCAAAGTTTGTCCCGGGTGTGGGGTCTGTGTGAGATCTCATCGCTTTGCTCTGTGTATGATGATCCACTGGGATGAAACATTGTCATGCTATTTTCTGATGCCTTTAGAGATGAGGTTGCTGATTTTTTTCAGAAGGCTGGAATAGGTCATTCAGAGCCTGAATGGTACAGCCTCGGACTTGGCTGATGGCCTCTGTTTCAGCATATTAGTGCTATCATAGCCACCTCCATTAAATGTTTGTAAAACCATTGCTCAGTTTTAATTGTTTATTTCTGGGGTAGCTACTACTTGTAGTAGTTCTGTACATAAAACAAACACTGCTTTCAGGCAAAGCAAGGTTTCAGCCAGTAGCTTGTGGCCACAAAATCTGAATTAACCAATTAAAGGCTTACCCAAATCCCTCTCAAGTCAACTGGAGTTTCTTTGTGTGCAGTCCAGCAAGCTTTGGATCAGGTCCGTTACGAGGCCAGAAATAGTGTGTGTTAGGGTATTCTCACTGGAACATTTTTATGTGGAATCTTTTTCATTTTTTAAAGAAATGGCATTTTGGAGACCCAGACACAGGAGACAGCTTCGAGGAAAAGCTGTCCTTTTTCAAAATGTTCTTTCTGCTTTATTCCTTTCTGCTGGTAAGTGCAATATAATGCCTACTGTTTGGATTTTCCCCATTTCCCCCTGTTTTCCCTAACAGAAAGGATGAAGGGAAAAAACCAAGCAAGGTGGAAATGCAAAGCTTGAAGAGCTTAAATTCTAAGGAAGAAAAAACTGAAAGATAAGAGAAAGCCCCCCAAAAACGTTCAGACGGAGACACTGATAAAGTTCCCCAGGTTGTATTTAATTTACTGGCCAATTCAGATTTCCTTCACTTTCTTTTTTTTTTTATTGGTTACCTCTGTGGAATGGGAGGGCAAAGTCTTTAATTTCTTAGGCATACTCTTAAAATCACCTCCAACCTAGAGAGACTCAGACTTTGGCAATGAGCAGAGTATTGCCTCCTGTGGAAATATAAATTGTGCCATTGGGGTTAAATGATCTCATCTATGGAGATGGTCCAGAGTACGGTGTGGTACCAAACTGTATGCCAGGTGTCCAGTTCCCCTTCCCCTCCTGCCCCTAAAACTGAGACAGCATCACGCATGCAGGTGATTTTCAGAAGATGGAACTGGAAGGAGAGCTCGAAGCTGAGGATCGCTCTGTCCTGGGCGATTTAATGGAAACCCACTTGCAGCTCCCCTCCGCAGGGTGTTCAGCACCTGCTGCCTGTGGTTGTGTATTCCCATGCTGAAACGAAGGGCCAGTGTCCCCGCGCGTTGCCGTTCCGGAGGGGGTCTGCAAATTGCCCATCCAGAGGGACTGGGTGTCGCGTGGGGCTGGGCAATCGTACCCCGCAAGCAAGTTATGGCAGTAAAATTAGGGTTAGCTTTATAAAATGTAGTGCATGAGGAGTATATGTTAAGAATCCTTCCCATCAGCTGGGCTTTAATAATTTAAAAAGCAGTAACAGACCGGTAGTTGCTGACATCTCTGCTGTCTAGCAGATTAAAGAGATTTTATTTAAATGCCATCCAAGATGACGAAGTTTCCGGCAAATCAGAGGTACGTGAGGGATTTTGCAGCAGAATTATACTGTTGCAGGAGTTTATTTTTTGCAGTATTTTGTTGCCACTTTTGTCAGCCTTATGGAACTGGGACCAGGAGTTGAAGGGATGTGAGAAGTGGCAATAACCTACTTTATCCTAACAGCAGACCCAGATGCAGTTGGGAGGCCTTCAGGCACATCTGCTTTATTTATTTATTTTATATATGACAGATCCCAGACAATTAACAACTGTTTCCTTTTAATTTTTAGACTCAAGAATCTTTAAACCCAAACAACTTAGAATACTGGATGGAAGACATTTATACTCCTGGCTATGATTCCTTATTAAAACGCAAAGAAGCCGAGTTCAGAAGAGCAAAGGTTTGCAAGATAGCTGCCCTGATAGCAGCGGCAGCTTGTACGGTTATTCTGGTCATTGTAGTTCCCATTTGTACAATGAAATCCTGAACCTGCGGACAGACCCATGACTCCCAGCTGTGTGTATCTCAGATAGCTCACGCTGTGTTTCAGACGTCTGATGGCAAAACTGTAAGGAATTCGCTAAGGAAGAATGTTCTGAGGATATCCTGATGGAGAATGCTGTAAACGTAGGCAAAACACAAAACAACTAGAGAAACATTTTTTTTTTGAAAAGTATTATTTTAAATAACAGACTGTGTGGCAGAGTTAATGGGAACTCGGTTCAATTTTTATGCATTTTTAAAAGTGCAATATTTTTTTTTCCTAAAGAAACAATATAGTGTTTTACAGAATCAGAGACTGATGAGAATCCAGGCAAAAGAGAAAGGTTGTCTGAGCTATGTTGCATTTAACAGAGGTATGGGTACATGGAGGTAGCACTGTATAGAAGGGAATGTTCTATATGCATTACATCAGGGAGCTAGGAAAGTCTTAAAGCTCTCTACAATGTAGAAAACTCTGAATGTATTGTCTTTATTTTATAGTATTTATGTATTTCATGATCATTTGATTGAAAGCAGACTGTGTAGCTATGAACAGAGTTCATTCCTATGTTTAGATTAAAAAGGGCTCTTTGTATTTGGTCTTGCCCTAAGACCCACTCTATCATCACTGAGTACTTAGATAAGTGCAATGTGCTGCAGACCAAAAAGATTATGTTTTAAAGCAATCACAAAAGGTTTTAGTTGCTTCTGTTGAATAACATTTGCATAGAACTGGCAAACTTGCCTTGCCAAAAGGGTATTCTTTACCTCCACAGACAGTGAAATTGTCTCAATTTCACTCCCGCCAGCAAGCAAAGCTGGAAAATCAAAGCAATGCTCTGTTAAAGTTCTTGGAAATGTAATCTGAACAGTTATAATTTTTTTCACAAAGTCTTTGTGCCTTTTTTTAGACTGTAGATTAAATAGAACTGCTTAATTTTGCTATTTTAAGCCCATAACATAAATCACAGCATAATGGGTACTAATGGAGGTTCTTTTCCCACAAGCCTTCTATACAGTTCAGAGTGCTCCTCAAACAGCAGGGCTGGTGGTTACTGAGCACTTATATTAAGGGCACAGTTTTTCAGCACTAGTGGAAACTTGCTGTTAATGCATTGCATTCGGCATGGGGAGATCTTTCGCTTCCCTCATGCTAATGTACTTAAGAATGATGGTTGACTCTACCGGACAGCAAGCAGACTGTATCCCATGGGCAATGTCCATTTGATGCTTTATCCCAAATGCAAATAGCAGGTTCAAAGGAATTCTCAAGCTATGACAGAAATTACCTGCCATGGTTAGTGAAAGCAAATACCCAGACACTATTACTCTTCTGTCAAGTATAGATGAAAAAAAAAAAAAAGTAAAAAAAAAAAAAATTTTCGGGAAATAATGTGATCTTGCTGGTCCTCTAAGGGAAAGGAGATTCTTTTAGTGAATGCTCTTTATGTAGGGTAATTTGGTTTCTTCAGAAGTAGCCTCCCTACACGATGACACAGCAGCTAGGAAAGCATTGGATGCTTGTTCCTCCTGCTCTCTGGGATGTGCTGTGCTCACTGTTTGTTTTTGGCTGGTTTAAAAAAAGTAGTGAGGAAAGGGTGTGTGGGAGGCAAAGGCTTTGTTGTGACTTTAGATGTGTGTCAGTTCTTTCCTGCAGCTGGAGACCTGTTTATGTGCTGCTCGCGTGCTGTATTTTATTTAGGGATAGGTGATTGCTGGGACCGCTGATCTATCAGAAAATAAGCACAGGGTCAGGTGTCCCGTCAGCAAATACAGAACAAGGATAAGCCCCTAGACCAAAATCTGTGCCTGCCTGGCCTGAATCCTGACCCAAATTCTGTAGCTTTGGACCATTCCTAATACCAAGATTATTTCTCTTTCCTCCCAGATGCTGCAGGATGGAGTCACAGCAGGGAGGGAGCAATTCACACTGTCTATTTTAGGCTGCCTTCGGTTATGGTATGATTCAGAGCACCTGAGTTTAGGAGCTCAGGATCCGTACATAGTAAATATAGACAGGTAGAGAAACCTCCGGGGATGATTTGGAGCTGCCAGCAAGATATCTAATATTAGACATGTGAATACTCTCCAGAGGGCATTGCTCTGCAGTTTACCTTATGCACAATTTAGGTTGATTGTATATGTAAAGAAAATCTATTCCTGGTTCCAGGTAATGTCAGAAAACCCTTTTACACCCCTCCTTGGCCTGGCGATAGCAAGCACAAGGCGCTGTCGGAAAGAGCAGCGTGGCCCTGTGGTGGCACAGTCTCAGTCCCCCGTCTGCCCGCGCTGGCGGTGACAAGTCCCTTGGAGGTGCAGGATGAGCGTGGGACGGACGCTGGGCAGGCCCCTCGCCTTCGCCAACCCCAGCTCCGCTAGCACGAGCGGTCTGACCCTGCTGCCCCCCAACCCAAAATCAGCAGCGCTTCCTCCGTTGCATCTCAGTAATCTGATTTTAGAAAATAAGTGCATATCTAAGTGGAGATGCGGGAAGGGTGCAGGAGACGTTATTGATTAGAGGGGCGGGCTGGGGCTGTGCTTGCACTGATGCATTAGAGGAGATGTAAGGACCCGTTTTGTGTATGCAGGGATTTTTTTTTTTGTCTATGCAAGACTCATCTAGCTGGCACCGGATGAATCTTTGCATTAGAGATGACCAAAATCCTGGGAAGGATTTGGCAGGTTATGGAGCCATGGGTGACGTGGAGCTGGCCCAACCCAAGCACTCAGCATCCCAAGCGTCCATGCTGCTCCTGATTTAACGAGGTGCTTTTGCTCATCCTTACTTTGCACAAGCAGCCAGTGGCACCCACCTGCATCGGGGCAGTGGTTTCCCTACACACCAGACCGTGGTTTGTCATGGATCTCCCCCTTGGGGCTTGATTCGGTTCCTGCAAACTCTGGGACCATCTCCACGGTGCTGGAAGCCCGAAGGGAGTGGAGAAAGCAGAGCCTAGCTCCCTGTCTCCCTGCTCCACAAATACCTCCGGGAGCCGCTGCCTTGCCATCTCCTTCACTCCCCGGCTGCCTCCGGCAGCTCCTCGGCACCACTGGGATGTGCATCCCTAGCCGTTCCCAGCAGGTTTTACATCTGGCACAGAGCTCTTCGCTTAAAATAGGTAAGGAGGTGGAGCGGTGGGATGCTGCTGCTGGAGGAGAGCAACCTGAGAAGGAGGGACCCTGCAGTTCTGCCCAGAGTATACAAGCTAGGTGAAATTCTGACAATACTAACCTGCAAGAATATTGTGATCAACCTTGTGAACCAGTTACCAACTAGAATATACTGTATGCTATATGATAGACTTTTGTATAAAAAAAAATAAACAAATTAAAGCTATAGGTACATTGTAATCCTTGGTGTGATTGAAAAAAGTGTCCTAGATTGTATTAATTAATTAAAATAATGATGAGCATATTGAACTGTTTTTCGTATTTATGCCTTATAAACTTGATATATTACACGTGATAAAATGAAACTGCAAGAATTATCAAAAAGATACTCCATTTTGGGGGCAAATCCCATTTGCTTTTCCTAAATCAAGAGTGCTGCTTGAAATGAGCTCAATAAATCATGTGTGCAGAAAAGCAAGAGCAGGATCTGTCCCCAAATGACTTTTTAGGATTTTTTTTTTTTAACGGGGCTTTGGTTAATGTACTATGTAATAATTTTATTTTATAAAGTTACTGTACAATGTTGCCTTTTGGTTCATTTAAATATAATACCAAATAAAATTGAAAATTACAGCGTCCTAAGTTTTACTGAAAAAGTTATAATAATTTATTACTCCATTGCTTTTCCTCTTTTTTTTTTTTTTTTCCAGAGACATCAAGATAGCCATGGGATGCAACTTTCTCAGTGTTACATAACTAAGCAGCCTATCTAGTTCTTGGCAGAATTGCTAATGGATTTCTCACTTGTGAAATAATAAGATGGCAGAAGATAATGCAAAATGAGTTTGTTGGGTTTCTTTTAAAAGCTCCTTTGCATCACATTGCCTGGGCTTCTGGGAGATTAGCTCTTGACACTAATCATAATATTTCATTTTATAGGTTATTTCATGACTGAGTTTTGCCATATCAACTGTTTTAAAAAGGTCATGACTAATATTTTGGTATCTATTTCACTAATGTGTTTATGCAACCATTGTTCCTACTATGGATAACTATTTATAGTCACCTATCAACAGACAATCAGTTTGCTTAGGATCTCTATATGAATTTAACCTGCTGCTTTTGACTTGTTAATTGCAAAACCAGGTTGTCTTAAAATTCCAGGTGTTGAAACAAAGATAGAGCTGAGCCTACCACTGAAGGTAGTCCAGCATCAGAGGTTGCAAAAGGCAGCCACAGGAAAGAGGACGTATATAAATAATGAACAATGACATGAAAACATAATAATGTAAGACCTTGATTTCCTCATCTCTATTGCATAAGCACCTTTAATGCATTGCTTTAGCGATCCTGGTCAGGGTGGGGAGTGCTGACTGCTCTCTGCAGGGCTGGGCCACCAGCCCCAGCCTTGGGTGCTCATGTGTCGTAAGTCAGGCTGCAAACCATCACAGGTCCCCTTGGGAGGGACTGTGATTCACAATTTACCATTGGTTTCAGTTTTGGAGGTGGTAGCATGGATTTGCATCAGTTTCAGGTTTTTCTCTTATACCCATCAAGTCCAGAAGCTTGCAACTAGAAATGCCCTCTGGATTTTTACGTTACAGCATGAATCCAGGAGCAGGAGCTTTCATAAAAATGCCAAGTGTGACGAGGCTCATGCCAAAAAATCCTAAGCACTCTGGCACAGCATTCCTCAGCTGTCTATGTAGGATATATAGACCTCATCTGGGTCATCGCTGTGCTGGAAGATGGGGTAGCTGCCAGGTTTCTACAGTAGCTGCTGGATAGAGTCACTGAGTCTTGAGGTAGAAGATAGGTCCTACATGCAATGCTGTATCGGTGACCAAGACCCAGCCCCACGATCTCTGTGCTTCTTTGAATGTGTCGCTGACAGCAATCAATTGTACTGGTTGAATAAATTCTTTATTTCAGATCTAGCTCTGATGAATGGCTCTGCCTGATGCACAAAAGAGTCACAAGCAAAATATGGGATCTCAGGGCCATATGCTGCCCTCTGAGGTGCTCCCGTGACCCCATCCCATTGAATCTGCACATGGAAGAAGAGAAAGTAGCTGGTAGCCTGCCCGTAGCAGCATGGTCCTATTGAAAGGAAAGGTCAGTTGTGTTGGTGTGAACTTTGGGAACAGGCAAGCACCTGTGGAAGTAATTATGAAGATGAAATACGGTCTTTCATGTTATTTTTTTCTTTGTTATCTTTTCAGGAAAGAGCACTATATTGTGTAAAGTGCTGCTCTGCTAGTAGTTCTCCCACAAGCTTGGTCACTTTGGTTAACTTCTGAGACCATGGAGCACTCGGTATCTTGCAGGCTGTTCATAAATCTACGACATTCACTTAGAAACTGGAGCAAAATCTTCATAAAAGGAAGAAGTGTGCTGTCAGCAGCCAAACTCCTCCCATAAGTAAGTTCCATTTGATTTTTTTTTTTTTTCTGCAATATAGCACAAACTACATGTAGGAGAGCCACAAAGCTCTTCCAAAAGCAACAGTACATCTAATCCTTCTCAAGAGCAATAGACTGAGATTTTCAAAGACGACTAGTTAATGGTTCTGGAT